AATATTTTAGTTGGCTAGAGAATGTCCGAATATGCCCTCTATTGAATTTTCAAAATGATCCGTTGTCTGGTTTGCCAGAAACGTCTAATTAACGCTCATCGTGAAAAGCCCTGTATAGATATAGTTAGATAGAGTATATTACAAACGAACATTGATAGAAAAGAATAACTGAAAGTTATCTGTGCAGGTAATCATTATAACACATTGAAATTAAAATTGATATCATTAATATCCTTGTCTAATGTTCGTCAGTGGAGTCTGTCAATTCCAAACTAGAAGATTTTCATAGTTCAATTTTTCATTGTATGGGGAGTTTGGGAGTTTGTTAAATACTTCGACTCCCATGGTGAACAAAAATGGTTTTCTTGGAATGGGTTCGAGAATCGCCATTTCAAATATCAGAATATCATTGAGGAACATCGTGTATATTGATTTGATCTTCCATTCTTGCAAACAGGTATGTCTCATTCAACAATTTATTTCCAGATGAATTGCGAATATCATTCCAAATATGTGATACGTGTTTTTACTCTGAAAACGAACAGTTTGATATACGTGTTCGTATAGATAGGCATGCGAGGTGAAGTCACGAGAGTTTCAAAAGGAATGAGATGAAAGAGATCGACAAAGAACAGATTGAATGTGCCTTTTCAGATAAAGTGAAGTGAAAGAGCCAGAACACCTAGTACAGAGATAGAACGCTTGCAATTTTCAGAGAAAAGATCATAAGGGGCATTTCTGCTCATTCGAAAAATTTTTCGAATAGATTGTGAAGTGAAGTTATCCATATATGAAGACATTTGGAGTTTGTCAATGATATAAGTCTCGTTAATTTCAAGAGGCACTGTTACCACTTAAGGAATATATGAGAAGTTTTCATCACTAATTGTCTAAGAGGGTCACTTCTCGCACGCACATACATAGTACAAGTATCACTGTTTCAGGATGATAAGATATCATCAATTTCTAACAAATTTCCTGATTATATATATAGTCGATGGTCGCAAAATATTGAGCTTTGGATGAAATATCAAGGGGTTGAACTACAGATCTCCTAATTGATCTGCAGTTGGACCCAGTGAACAATATTGATTTTATGAATGTTGAGGAAAAAAAAAACGTTAGGAATAACGTTATAGCTTGAAAACTTTGACGTTGAAATTCAGTTGGTAACAGTATTTTTTTGAATTGACTCGGCTGCTACTTGATGGAAATCCGTAGTAAATGTAAAAACTCCACAAACGATGAGATTCTCACGAAATTTTTAACAGCACGATATGTTTTGCTGAAACAGTAGCTTTTTCGAGTGAAATACTCGTACAATAAACTGAACTTACATTGAATTGCCTAACTTCAATATCCTACATTTCGAACCTTGAGGCTCAATATTATCTTGGGTAAGATTGTCTAAGGCTTCATTTTCGGAAAGTACGCACAATAATCTACATAAAAATTCAAGAATCATTCAACACGTTATTTCAACGTTCCCTTTTTTCATATCATATCTTTGATATTACGTTGATGAATCTTGATAACGAATCACTATCGCTAACGACAACTTGTTAATGCACCGTTGAATACCTGTTCACTCAAAGTAATAGCACGTAAGTGAAACATATGATCAAAATAACAAAGGTATGGTTATAACATCGTTTTGGAAAATCCAAAAATATTACATGGAGTTTTATCAATATGTCGTGTGATCGTGTGATGATCCCGTTAAATTAACTTGGATGGCACTTCATTCCCAAACTTTATTTCAAGTCATGAAATTGAATTATGTGAGGAAGAATACAGGTATTGAATCATTGATATATCATCTATTCGCTCAGTGACAAACGAATCGAGTTTCGACGTTCATCTAACTTTGTTATCTCACAGTTGGTAGATACACTTTATTCTTACTATGTAGATAGTAGAACGATAGCTCAATAAAGAATAGATCATTCGCACATCAATGTAAAAACAGGTATATAACGTGAGTCGAATAGTTGATAATATAATGGAGTGTAATATATTTCAACGTTTTGGATGTTCAGATCATAAGATGCATTGTTGACAACATGTCGCATGGATGTATAGTGATTTCGTTGATTGACCGTAGTTAGTGACTGATGAAATAACAATCATTCTATTCTTTTGAAAACATTATGAGTTGAATTTGGAATACTTGAATTAGGTGCATTACGGTTGTTTTAGCGTTTCAATCATCGGAATATAAACTAGTCACCCAGGAGCACTCGTTTCAAAATATTGTTACCTATCCCGAATACGTTGCAATCCCACAATTTGAAAGCACACTAGAGATTAAATATTTCTTTGGAGTGTACTAAACACATCAATTTGTCTTCTTATTATCACAACTATTACGATAATAATATCACGAATCTAATTTGATCACATGTATATCCTTGAGGCTTTCCATTTCTCAAATCAGGATATCGTAAAGGGTAATATTGAAATAAATTGCTTTTCAACAGAGTATCTTCAATCTTTGGTCCAGTAGTGGGAGTTAACGAAGAGGAAATAGTATATTATGTAACAAGTGTTATAAACGTCCTTTTAGTAACGAGAGGAGCAGAGCGGAGCGAGTGTTTAATAAACGAGTGTCTAGAAGAGTTTATGAACGCGTTACATACTATGTTTTTTCTACGAACTCCGAAAATTACCTTGACATACCTGCTATTCCTGCTAACCAACAAAATAATTCGAAAGGAATGGGAATTGAGAACAAAATACATGCAACTGCATGCAACCAGCGAGACACGTATAAATGATATTGGTTGTAGATGTGTCAAGTCCATTGCTTACTAACCTTTGTTTCACGTTTATTGTCATGCTTAGCGCAGAATAAATGAATTGTTATTCTCAAAGATGGATGCTTCATTTTTACACTTCTTGGAGATATGCAAGTACCAGAACATTCTCTTCGTTTTCATTTTCGTCTACATTTCGCATATATTTTCAATAAAGAATTCTGATACAAACGAATATTGTTTGAATAATTCTGATACAAAATTTGAAAATAACTGTTGACAGTTAATACAATTGACAGGCCAGACATGTCTCAAATTACTGAAGCTGTGTTTAATGAACTGTGTTGCCATGCATGGTAATGTGTTTAAGAAATCGTGTTGCCATGGTAACGTGTTTAATAATTTGAATAAATCACAGATCGTCAATCCGTGATTAATCGATCATTTAGCGTGGTACATATCCGTACGCTAAATGCCATTTTAGTTATGTGAGTAGAAAAAAGATTTTAGTCATCTCTAAAGGGTGTCCCTAAAAGGCCGTCACAGACACTCACCACATATCACTCAGACTAAAACAATCGAATAACGGCAATCTTACCTCAGTAGAAATCTGCTTAGTTTGGGCGCGAGACAGCTCTGTAGTTACAATTTTCAAATCGCTTTTGCTTCATAACTTTGAAACAGCTCATGAGAATATTCGATGGCAAAGCTTTATTGGGCAATGAAACCCCTATCATGATTATAAGGAATACAATTCCATGGTTCAAGGAATTGATTTTTTCAGGAAATAAACATCTGAAAATTCTACGCCAATGGAAAGAAATTGTTTTCAATATGAAATCTCAATGCGTAGCTTGTTTCAGACAAAAAGGTACACCTGACAAAATTCGACTACTTTCTCATGATTTCGACAAAATTGAAATTTCAGTAATTCAAAGCATCCGTCAATACCAAAGCGATTAGGATATATTTCATAGAAATTGATGAAAATGTTCATACTTTCCACGTATACAAAGATTTTTACGACGAAAGAAATGGATACAAGCACACTTACCTCAGTACAAAGTTTCTCAGTCTGGGCGCTAGAAGGCTCTAGTTACTTAATCAGTACAAAAAAAACAACAAATAATAGCATTTTTCAATTGTTTTCGTCGTATACGTACGTATTTCGTTTGTATACGTGGAAATAATAAGAATTTTGATAAATTTTGATGTAATATCTGTCAATCGTTTTGGTGTCGACTGAAGCTTTGAATTACCAAAATTTAAATTGTGTCGAAACCATGAGATTCATCGGATTTCATCAAGAGTCCCTTTCTTGTTGTAAATAAGTTACACAGCCCAAATTTTATATTCAAACCCCTTTCTTCCTACCATGATGATCTAGTCAAGTTATCACCAGCCATCTAGTGACTTATAAGGTGGGATGATGCGATCACGTTATGCACTGTATGACGCTCTCATCTATAGTCAACACACATACCTCTACAACGTTACAAAGTGGAACTACAAGTAAACCAGTCTCAGATGGCACTACCTGACTTCTTGAGTGGAAAAATCTTCCAGTCCCATTCATTGAATTAGATTCCATTACTCAGAAATCTAAAATGAACAGAGTTGTTCCAATAGTCAGCAGGAGCGAGATAGTACTGTTTCGGCCCACCAGGCCTCATCAGCCTCTCTCGGTCTGCTGACAACTGTGACAACTCAACGCTCGGATAATACATGGTGATCTAGTCATGTCACTCAAGTAGTCAGGTAGTTCTCTGTCAGCAGAGTAGGTTTACGTGTAGTACCACTTTGCAACATTGGTAGACATACGTGTTTGCACTGCAAGAACGGCTTGGTTTCTCAAAATTTGTTGAGGGTGAAATATTGTGAAATACCCATCGAGCAGACGTGAGGAATTGACTAATCTTATATCATCTTATTCGATTCGATAGTACGATCTTGGAATTCACGGGAGAAATGGAATTGATTGATCGGCAACGGTGTGTTGTGGTGTGGTGTTTACGATTCCAATAACAAAGTGCCTATCAATAATATCAAGAATCAATAAAAACTTTTTGTTACTGGAGAGTCATCAACTAAGGTCAGGCTGTCTCAATTCATGAAATACGGGATAAAGAGCGATTTTTAACTGGTATATACACATGTAAATATAACACGTAAATAGTACATCCCGGCTGGCATCCAAAGCACTGTTGCCAATTCAAAAAATTTCACCGCATTTCTGCTACTAAAATGTTTCAATCGAGCCAAAGGAGTACCAGATCACAAAGCCGCTCTCAAATAGATATAAGGAGTTCGAGTGGATCTCTAAATATCAAGAAACCCAATCCAGGGAGCTCTAGTTCTAAGAATGACAACGATGAAATATATCAAAAACTCCAGAAGGAAGTAGACAGACTCAAAATGACTCTAGATAACAAAGAAAGGGAACAAGAAGACATGATGAACCAATTTCTATCAGAAATAGAATGTTTAAAAAAAGGGAATGAAGAGAAAGAAAAGTATATTCTTCAGTTGCAGAAAAGATCCAAAGATTTCGAAGATGAAGTATACCACGCTGAAGAGTCGCTCTTGAATGAATCACACATGCATAAAAAAACGATAGCTGAACTTAATGAAGAAATAAAAAATCTGAGCGAAATGAATGATCTCTTACAAGAAGAAAATAGTGCTTACCAAGATAATATCACCAAACTGGAAAATGAAATGAAGGAGTTTAGATCTATTAGAGAAAATATGTTGACGTCTATCGAGGTTCTCACTACGGATAACGACCAATATTCTAGAGAGCTCATGAAACTCAGGAGTGAAGTGAACATATTCAAAAGACAGAAACTTGAGGGGAAGAAGGGAGTCGAAAATATGGTAGATAGAATAGCAACAATTAGTCAAGACATAGTGAAAACCAGAGTTTTAAATAATGCACTGCCTGACCCAAACACTTTGAAAGAAAGTGTATCGGTGAAGAACATTCTAATTGTGGCTGGATACCAAGGCAAACTGTTAGGGAATTTCATGCGAAATCAAATAAATAATGATTTTTTAGTACAGTCTGTAATAAAACCAAACTGTAGTGTAGAGGAATTGATATCGACTGCTTTGAACAATTCAAGATCTTTCACTAAACATGATGTGGTAGTTCTTTGGACAAACAGATCATGTTTGGAATTGAAAAATAACTTTATACTGAAATCTTCACATACAAACCCAATTGTAGTCTCAGAACCATATCGGTATGATTGGAAAAATATGAATAATAATATTTACAATAGGAACATGAATCTCTTCAGAGGATTATTTGCAGATGATGGACATACAGCATGTTTCTTAGATTGCAATAACATTTTCAGGGAAATAAACTATCATAATGATGGACGCACTATCAATTTTGTAGGAAAAAAGTTCTTAGCTAAAGCACTCATTAAGCATATAACTGAAACCTGTAGATCAAGAATCTGCTCTGAATTTTCGACAAGTCCGAACAGTAACGTTCAAACTCATCAAGAAAATGCTTTTTTATACCCGCGTTTATCACTGGAAGCGCCCCCAATGAGTATGTAATCGAAAATGAGAAATTAGTTGAATGTAACACGAATAATGACAAACTATTGCATTCTGTTGATATTATTCATCAGAATATACAATGTTTAAGTAATAAAATCTTGAATATTGATGTGGTTTTTGACAGTATCAAATGCGATATACTTCTTATTTCCGAACATTGGATGACAGAAAATCAGATAAAATCATACTCATTGAGCAGATTCAATCTGATAAATTTTTTCTGCAGGAAAGATACTAAAAATGGTGGTGTAGCCATTTACAGCAATAAAAACTTCAAAACTAACTGCCAAAAAGTGAATGTAGACTCTGTTTGTAGGGAAGGGATATTTGAATGTGCAGCGGTTTCACTATCCCACGATTTGATCATAGCTGTTGTTTACAGACCACCATCAGGAGATTATAAAAGTTTCCTAGATATCTTCACTGAATTTTTAAACCTTAGAACTCTTGCTAATAAGCAAGTCATCATTGGAGGTGATTTTAATGTTGACTTTTCTTCAAGAAATCTCAACTGTATTTTATTAAACGACGTACTTGGATGTCACAATTTATCTTCAACTATAATTGAATCAACCAGGGTAACACAAACTTCTAGTACATGTATAGACAACTTTTTAGTTAATTCTGATCTCAATTTTCGTGTAGCTGAAGTGCTTGATCTTGGACTATCTGATCATTTTTCACAACACATCGAAATATTGCATTCTACACCTTGTGGACAACGGAAAACAAAACATCATATAATGCATAGATCTTTCAATGACCAAAATCATATTGCTTTCCTAAATCACCTGAGTGTTGAAACATGGCATACTATTTACAATCAAGAGAGTTTGAATGCAGCGTGCAACAGCTTCTCGAATTTGATGTTCTATTATTTGGATTCCTGCTTTCCTCTCCGTAAAATATCAATTGACAGCAAGAGAAAATTATGTGATAATGAATGGATCACTGATGAAATCATAAGGTTAAAAAATCAGGTTACTCTCTATAACGATTTAGCTAAGACCAACCATGATTATAAGGACATCAGCAAATATTTGCAGAAAAATTACTGTAATGCTCTGAGAGTAGCTAAAACCAATTTTAATGACATGAGAATACAGGAATCGGATAATAAAATGAAAACAATGTGGAAAATTATTAATGAACTGAAAGCCGGTAATAATAAATCTAACGTTTTGACTATTACACAAAATAATTCTCTTTTACCAGATAGGATTGTCGCCGATCATTTTGCGAATCAGTTCACTATCAATATCAGTGAAAATTTTGTGTGCGACTATAATTTTTTAGATTCAAATATCCCTTTATCGACAACATCATTTTATCTAGAACCTGTGACACTTGCTGAAGTTGAATCATTAATAAGTAGGCTCAAATCCTCCAATTCTTCTGGTAATGACAACATTTCCAATAATTTATTGAAAAAATGCAGCTCCTGGATTAGTGCTCCGCTGAATTATCTCATCAATTTTTGTTTTCAAGAAGGAAAATTCCCAGAGAATTTCAAACTCGCAATAGTTCAACCTCTGCACAAGAAAGGGGATCCAAATGATTTTGTGAATTACAGAGCAATTAGCCTGTTATGTAGTATCTCTAAATTGTTTGAGATGGCAGTAAAGGATCGGTTAACCAAGTATTTAGTCAAGTACAAACTCCTATCACCAGAACAACATGGTTTCTGCAGTAACAAAAGCACAGAATCGGCACTCTGTGAGTTCAGTCAGAAAATAATTTCAAGTATTGACAAAAAAATGTTTGTTTTGGGTATTTTCATTGACTTCTCAAAGGCTTTCGATCTAGTGAATCATCAGTTACTTTGTGCCAAGCTAGAAAGATATGGTATAAGAGGTTTGCCACTGAATTTAATAGATTCATATCTCAGCAGGAGGAAACAAATAATTAGAGTGAACAACACTTTTTCTGATGAAATGGATATCGAGCAAGGTGTGCCACAGGGTTCTGTTTTAGGTCCTCTTCTTTTCAATATTTTCGCTAACGATCTTATACTTTATATTCGGAAGATACAGAATGTTCATGTTACGTGTTATGCAGATGATACGAATATATTGGTTATAGATGAAGATCTAAATAGGCTAAAAAGTACTGCTGAAATGGTTTATTCGAATATTGAGAAATGGTCAAAAAATAATAATCTACAACTTAATCATGGAAAAACAATAACTGTTCTTTTTGGTTCCAGCAGGATAGATGTAGTCAAACTATTTGAAGATTCTGATAATGAAATAACCAGCAGCATGTCAGTAAAACTATTGGGAGTTACTTTCGACAGGCAGCTTCATTGGGTTGATCATATCAATAATTTGTGCAAAAAATTACAGAGTAGCTGTTATAGTCTGAAATTTATGAAGAACCACTGCAGTCGGCACATACTACTCTCGTTGTACTATGCCAATTTCCATTCCCACATAAAGTACGGGATTTTGAATTGGGGCAATTGTGCTCATGTGAATAGAGTACTGGTTCTTCAGAAGTATGCAATTCGAATTCTTGCTAGTGTCGATATGAGAACAAGTTGCAGAGCATATTTCAGAACTTCCAACATCCTAACCGTAGTTAGTTTATACATACTAGAAGTTTGTTTATACGTTTATCATAATACACGCTTTAAAAGCCACCTCCAACCTGAGAGACACCGGACTACGTTGTACCAGAAAAGTTTTCATTATACTGGTTGTAAGCTATATAACTCTCTTGATGAACAACTTAAGAGCTCCAAAAACTTGAATATATTTAAAAAGAGGCTTAAACAACAGCTAATTCAAAAGGCCTGCTATACGCTGGATGAGTATTTTATGTAATTCTATGTAATGTTAGTAACGTGATGAATATATTGTATTTAATTGTGATGCTGTCGCATTGTTTGTTTGTTATATTTTTTCTTTTTTTTTGACGTACTTTACTGTTTCATGTTATACATTTAACAGAAAATAAAAATTATTATTATTATTATTATTATTATTATTATTATTATTATAATTCGATGATGTGAAGCTTTCAGACGCTATAATCAGAAAATGGATATTAATTCCCTTGATCCCCGTGTTCGAAAGTATTCCTATATAGCCATATCGGTTCTAGAAATATCAGGAGACAATTTAGAACTTCCCTGTATAAAACGTAAATCCCACTTTGATCTCAAATTCCATGTCTCAACTATGTCTTCTGTGAACATCTGTTAGCAATACACACTGTTTTATCACTTCCCTGTATAAGACGTAAGTCCCACTTTGATCTCAAATTCCATGTCTCAACTATCTCTTCTGTGAACATCTGTGAGCAATACACACTGTTTTATCACTAATCAAACCAATTGTTCACGCCTCCACACGTGTTTCGCTAACAATGTTAGCATCTTCAGGAGGATATTAAAAACTAAATCTTCTCCTGAAGATGTTAAGATAGTTAGCGAAACACGTGTCGAGTGTGTAGTGTATTATCGTGCCAAAGGTTTCAGTCTTCGATTTACCTCTGTAGGAATTCACATGAATTTGGATTATATTATTCAAGTTCAAAATTTCCACCTAGTATTTATACTTTCCGTGCAACATATATGTTTGATTCTTAAAGACTCAACTAGATGATAATATGATGATGTGATTGATTTCGATCGATCTTCTCTCACATTTACCCTCTGCAATCTCATAGGAAAATCTTGCTAGAGATGTTTCCCTGTATTGGCAGGTACGGATCATCATTTCACTGCACCATTCGAGTCGAGTTCATTGCTTCGAGTTCTGAACAATGGTTTTGAATGTTGCGTGTTGCTGTGCCGACTGACATGACGCATTATTCCATAAAATGGCTCATTTCACCATATACTTTTGGGTTTCCCTTGTTCGATAGAATCTTGCGTGTTCAATGATATTGTCACGAGCTTGAGGAAATTTCACGGTGTTGCAGCAACATTTAGTAATTATCATGACTTGGCCAATAATTTTCGCGAAACAATGACATTGGGAAGTGACTCGAAAAACTTATTATTGTTTTTACAAACAACAAAAATCAAAGAGCGTCTCCATTTGACACGAGTTATCGAAAAAATGTTCATGCAATGCATGGTATTATGTGTTTTTCATGCACATATACTATTATGAATTGCCCTAAAAATTTTGAAGCTGTACCAGTCAAGGATTCTGAAAAATTCTAGAAAATCTGGAAATAGAATTCTTTCTTCAGTGCCCTCTTACGGCTCAACGGACATTTTCCTATAAGGTGAGTTGATTTTGATCGGCCTATTCAGGTCTCAAGTTTCCCCTGTAGACTTTATGGTACGTTGTTCTAGGACACTGTTTTTCACATCATTAGGCCCATGGCAGGAGTACATCGTACTACGAAACAGGTGGCAGAAGGTGATTTTTTTCTAACTAATATGTCATTGAACGATGAGTGAAGTTTCAGCTTTCATCATGTTTGACATTAACTCGTTTTTCAACAACATTGATAAGCTGTTGATAATCATTGTCCCGATGATGCGCCGGCAGGAGTTGATTTCATGTCTAGATAGAAGTGTCTCTAAAAGTATGTATGTATGTATCTCCAAC